GTCATGTCTAATAGCATTTGGTCGAATCCTTGTCTGTGGCCCTTAACTGTCATAAGGTCCCAATTAATCCGCGGAGCATTGAAATCTCCTACAATAATAATGTTTTGCTTTCGATTGTCCTCGCGGAGTCGAGTGATTAACGCTAGATCTTCGTCGGCAGGTTGATTTGGAGGTCTATATACAACGGTGATAGTAACGTTTTCGGCTTTGGGAACCAGCAAATGACACTGCAGCAGCTCCAGATCATGCTCATTTACACATTCTTCAACAGGGTTATATTCGACCGCATTGCTGATATATAGGGCAACTCCGCCACCTCGCCTTTTGGTTCGGTCTCGTCTTAACACTTGATAACCATCTAACTGTATTTGGGGGTCTGTGACATCTGGGGTGAGCCACGTTTCAGTTAATGCAATAACATCAGGAAATAGTTCGGCCACAATTATTTAAAGTTCATCGAGTTTATTCAATAGGCTTTGTACATTTCCGTAGGAGAACTTAATTTTATGTAGGTTGTTGCGTCGAATTAGTTGCTCGGCCGTGTGGCCTTCGTTAGTATGACAGGCGTCCTCCACAGGAGGGGTCTTTGTCGTCGAACAATCACTCCGTTCATTATTACTAGTCTTTTCTCTCCTTGTTCTTTCAAGGTCGCCAGCTCCGCCTTCAGCGCCCTTCATTTCATTCTCTCTTGTACTAAGTAATCCGGTTGAAAAAAAGACCTCTATGGCCAGGGATCCCCCTACTGTTCGTTCAAGTAGAAGATCCCTCTGGAGTTTACTTTCTAAAACTATCTTTAAAGGCCTTGGTTTCAGCCCTTGAGAGCTCGCGCTATCTTTACTGTTTAGTCTGAAAAGTTTCAGAATCTTAATGGCTTCATCTTCTTTTATTATGCTATCCAGACACCCTTGCAAGGTCATGATATCATCATTTATCCTACATCTGGGGTTATCGTTCGTTGATTCACGAAGTCCATGGACAACTATGCATTGTGATCTGTCCACAGCACCTCCATTCGACGAATTTTGTTGAATAATTGGTCTGACCGATGAGGATGAGGCTTCCCCAAGTTGGGCTTCGACGCTAGTTGCAGGAATATTCGTGAAAGTATTTACTTTCACTCCCACTCTGGGTTTATTTTTATTCGGTCCTGTGTTGGTCGACGCTCTCCTCACACTAGGCTCAGGAGGTGCGCATACTGTCTGGGGACTGGTTTCCTCTTTTGTCGGTCCATCTTTATCATTTTCCTCCTCGGCCCTTGGTTTCTGTTCTGGCGAGTCTGACACCTTCGCCTTCGGATTTTTGCTACCTTTCTCCATAGTCTTTCCTGTCGCCTTTTTCTCATTCTTTACTGATTTTGGAGGTTTCACGTCACCACTGATAACTGGAGTCTGATACTGCTTATACTGGGTGTCTCGCGCTCTACTCCTCGTTACCCTGTGCGTAGATGCTGCCAACTTATCCTCTGTCATGAAGGTCTGCTGGATGAAATTCTTCATGTTTTTAACTTCTTCCTCTAGTTGATTTAACTTTGAGGCTAAGGTTTGACAACCGCTGCAAGAGGTTTCCACATGCGTCGGTCGTAACCAATTTGTAAGGCTTTTTGAGCGACCGCCCAAGCGTGCGGCGATAGCGCAGTGGTCTGCGTCGCAGTCTTCAGCTCAAGTGGTCCCGATTTCGACCGCACAGTGAGGCACATTACTTCAGACCTTGTCATTTTGCGCTACTTTAGTATATCCAACAAGAAAAAAAAACGATCTGGTGAGATTTTTGCCTAAGATTCGAGACGAAAAGTCTCTGGCCTCGTTCTGGTCGTTGAGAGTCACCGTATAAGATGAATATCTTCGTCTTAAAGAGGTTTGTCGAGCAAATACAGGAAGCAGCTGTTTAGTTCTAGGACTTTATCGAGTACATTCGAAATATGATGCATTCAACGAATAATATTAGAAGAGTTACTCAGCCTATGCGGGAGTTGTTCCAGATGTTTGATGGAAGGATAATCCGAGTTTCTTGGCTCACAAACAGCAGAAATGAGGAATGTCTGAAGTCCGCGTCCTGCGAATCAGCCTTTGTCTCCAAAGGCATTGGGCGCCCGCCGATCAGGTTACGGAACATGCTCGTTCCGTTGTGCCTTGGGGGTCATTCTGGAACACTCGCAGGCAGTCGCACAGCGACTAGTAGTAGGCATAGATGATATGGAGCCGACAAAGACAAGTAAGAACGGAATGGCCATTTCTGGCTTATTAGCCGCAATCAGCCAGTCATACACAACCACAAGTTTGGATCAGTTAAGATACGAACCCGGTATCTATGGTCATGGATAATTCACTATACAATTGAGCCACGGCCCCTTAGTCGAGTCGGTTGTGATCGGCATTATTAAGCACGAGATAGGGCGCTCGCCGATCAGGTTACGGAACATGCTCGTACCGTTGTGACTTGGAAATCATACTAGAACCCTCGCAGGCAGTCGCACAGCGACTAGTGATATATGTTGAGAAGGTGATACCGACAAAGACAAGGGAGACCGGAATGGCCATTTCTGGTTTATTAGCCGCAAACAGCCAATCATACCCAACCACAAGAGTGGATCACTTGAGTTCCAAACACGGGATATTTTGTTATGGTGATTAAAGTTCTACCATTGAGAGACGGGCCCGTTTTTCTGTCGGTTATGATCGGGATTACTAAGTTTGAGAGTGGGCGCTCGCCGATCAGGTTACGGAACATGCTCGTTCCTTTTTGCCTTGGGGCTCATACTAGAAACCACGCAGTCATTCGCACAGCTACTTTTAGTAGGCATAGATGAGGTGAAGACGACAATGCCAGGGAAGACCGGAATGGCCATTTCTGGCTTAAAACCGTAATCAGCCAGTCATACCCAACCCCAAGTTGGGATCACTTGAGATTCGAGAACGGCAGCTAAGGTCATTGAGTTTGTATGCCTTCCATTGAGGCACGGGCTCGTTTTCCATTCGATTGTGATCGGGTAATCTAATTATAAAATTGGTCGCTCGCCGATCAGGATACGAAACATGCTCGGTCCGTTGTGCCTTGGGGGTCATTATGGAACACTCGCAGGCAGTCGCACAGCGATTTGTAGTAGGCATAGATGAGATGGAGCCGACAAAGACAAGGAATTACGGAATGGACATTTCCGGCTTATTAGCCGTCATCAGCATATCATACACAAAAACCACTTTGGATCACTTGAGATTCGAACCCGGGATGGTTGTTCATGGTGATTGAAACTGAACGATTGAGACACGGGCCCGTTGTCTTGTCGGTTGTGATCGGGATTTTTAAATATGAGAATGGGCACTCGCCGAACAGGTTACGGAACATTAATTATGACAGTGGGCGCTCGCCGATCAGGTTACGGTATATGATCGTTCCGTTGTGCCTTGGGGCTCATAATAGAACCTTCGCAGGCAGTCGCACAGCTACTCGTAGAAGACATAGTTGAGATGGAGCCGACAAATACAAGGGAGACCGTAATGGCCATTTCTGTCTTATTTGCCTTCGTCGTCGTCCAACCAAACCCAAGCCCAAGCGAAAACCGACAGTACAGCGTCCTTCTGGCCCGGTGACTTGTGGCATGTATTTCTAACGATCTGGTCGCGATTTCGAGGCTTTTGTGATCCACACTTCGGGCATTGTTATGGCTGGTTGACGACGGCTTATATGCCAGAATTTTCCATTCCTGTCTCCATTGAATTTGTCGGTAATTCTATTTCGTCTTTTTATCATGCGCCGCTGTGCGGCTGCTGGTTTTGCTCTAGAGAGAGCCCTTTAGCACAACGGAACGAGTGAGTTGCATATGAACGTTCGGTCTGCGCCCCCTAACATTGTATATTCCCGATCGTTAACCGACAGGGCTACGGGCTCGTGGACCGGTGAGTAGGGGCGTGGACTTTTAACGAACAGGTCACAAGTTCGAGGCTCGAGTGTTGCACACTTCGGGCTTGGGTATGGCTTGCTGACGAAATGGCCATTCCAGTGTCCCTTGTCTTTGTCGGTAATACCATTCTGCATAGATATATATATCTTATAGAAGCGAAGATGCGCGTCCCCGGACATAATTGAGAAGAAAAGGCGATCTCGGGAACCATAGTTTTACTGTCCTGACGTTTCAAAAGCATACAAGCTTCCATCGTCGGAGGTGAGTGTGATATCGAGCCTTACAGTATTTATAGGTGGGTAACAGTCATGTCAATGGCGGCAGGGGGGATGGGGCGGGGGGAAGACCTAGAGCGTCTTTTCGACGGATGAGGGAGTGGTGGGTCAGCTTTAGTGGTAATCAGCAGCATGCACACATGAACTGTGGCGGGCGGGGGGGAGGGAGGGAGGGTGACGGAATGTACTCAATCTACATCGGAAGCCGTCGTTGAGACGTTGGTGGTCGTCGTTCGTACCTTCATTGACCGCAGCTGTCGTCCAAGCCTGGCAATCTTGTTTACGCCGCAACGACTGTCAGTTTTCTCGTCCGCCGTACTAGTAGATGGACCGGCTGTGGTGAGGACTGCGCCTTCGTCCGAACCCGGTTGAGGGTTGGCTGAGTGTTTATCCGCCATGGGCTCGCTCATGTCCGGACTCATGTTTAGCCTGGGTGCACGTCTGCTCAATTGTTTACTGAGCTGCGCTCGAAGGGCTTGATAGGCAACTGGAAGAGTCACACAGCGGTTGATGGAGGTTGTCCCCGTGTGCCAAGCCTCGATTGTTTCCCTGGCTATGCGATCGTTTCCCCGGCCCAGAATTTCGGCATGCTGAAAGGCGAACTTGTGTCCGGCATCGGCGCAGTGTTCGGCCACCAGAGACAAAGGGTCCATTAGCCGTACTGCCCTCATGTGTTCTCCGACACGGGTCTGTAGCCGTTTGCCGGTCTCCCCGATGTAGCTGGCTTCGAAGGAGTTACACTGGATCCGGTAGATGACGTTCGTGGTTTCACCTAGTGGCAGAGGGGCCTTAGGTCTCATGACCAGATGTCGAATTGTTGACTCCGGTCAGTGGGCGATGCCGATCCCCAGCGGTCTTAAGAGACGCGAGACGGCCTCAGAAACGCCGACGATGTATGGAAGCGCCCGCCATATTGTTGGTCGTTCTGTCTCCAAACGTCGGCTCTGTCCGCCGTGTCTGCCGCGTTCGATGAAGTTGCGAGGATACCCGTTGGCCATGAAGAGGCGCTGGAGGTAGCGTAGTTCTGACCTTCTGTCGTCTGGCTCGCTGCAGTGTGTTTCTGCCCTTCTGTAGAGTGTTCGCACACAACTGCGTTTGTGGCCTAACGTGTGCTTACTGTGGAAGCTCAGGATTTGGCGCGTATTAGTGGCCTTCCTATATACCGTCGTTTTAAGGTGCCCATTGGGGTTTCGATGGACGAGAACGTCCAGGAACGGGAGTTGATTGTTGACTTCCGCCTCCATTGTGAACTGGATGTCAGGGAAAACAGAGTTCAGGGCATCATGGAATTCCTTAACCATTTGCCGCTTAATGATAACGAAGGTATCATCGACATATCGAGCCCAAAATTTCGGCTTATAGATTGGGAAAACGAGGGTCTCTACTTTTTGGAGAACTGCCTCTGCGATGAAGCCCGAGAGAGGCGATCCCATTGGCGTCCCCTTGACCTGCTCGTAGGTCGTGCCTTCAAAGGTAAAGTACGTCTTCAGGCAGAATCTCAGCAATTGGACTAGATGTCTCCTTTTTACCGTCACGTCCGTCTCGTCGTACAGACTCTCGATCAGCTCGCTGACCGTTTCGATTGTCAGGTCTTTCGGGATCGAGGTGAAAAGAGAGGTGACGTCGAATGACACCATGACCTCGTTTTCGGTAAGTCTCATCCATTTGATCCGCTCCAGGAACTGAGTCGCTGAACAGACCGTCGTGCCCGCGTTCGAGGTGAGAGACCTCAGGTTTCGGAACAGCCATTTGGCCAAATCGAATGTAGGTGCGCCGCGCAGTGATACGATTGGCCGGAGGGGGACCCCGGCTTTGTGTACCTTTGGTAGTCCGTAGAACCTTGGTGCGGCCGCGTCTACTGGCTTAATGGCCAGTCGTACCGATTTACTTATTGCCTTGTTCGTTTGCATGTCGGCGAGTGTCTTGTCCAGTTGCGTCACCAGCCTCCTCATCGGTTCATCGTTACATGGTAGGTACGCCTGTCGGTCCTCCAGTAGGACATTGGCCTTCTGAATGTAGTCCGCCTTATCCATCACAACTGTGGAACGCCCTTTGTCGGCTGGTAGAATCGCGATGCTGGTGTCAGCCCTCAGTGTCTTCAGAGCGCTCTGCTCGGCCTTGGTAATAGTTGCACGCGGTTTGTGTGACATCGCCAAGGAGGCTACCTGCTGTCGAATGAGATGCTTTGTTTCGTCTGATTCCCCGGTTTGTTTGAGAATCGACTCTACCGTGGCCACAAGATTGACTGGATCGGCGTCTGTGGTGTTGAAGCAAGCCTCATGACTCAGCACTTTCATTTGTGCAGGAGTCAGCTGCTTAGAGGACATATTGTGCACCAGGACTTCGTTCTCCTCTTGAGATGATTTTCTTATGCTTTGGAGCTTGACCGTCAGCTCGGCATCTCTTGTTGCTCGCAGGTTCCGGGCCCGTTTATTAATCACTGCTTGCAACTGCGCGACTCCGTCATCACCGATGATTTTGACGCACTTTTTAACCGCCTGGCTCAAAACCCTGTTGTATTTACGCAATCGAAGGTGGCAATCTTGGAGAAGCGCCCGAATCATTCGTCTGCCATGTTCAGCCACCCACCGTTTGGCCAGACTTGTGTTCACCGGTGGCCTGTACGACAGGCTCTTCGGAAGCACATGATTGTCAAGGCATCTGTGGAGGAATTGTATTTGCGCGTACGTAGAAGACACACGAAGCGTGAATATTTCCCAACGTCGTGCAGACTCAAGCGCTTCGCGCCCGAAAATATTGCTAATAGAAGCGAAGATGCGCGTCCCCGGACATAATTGAGAAGAAAAGGCGATCTCGGGAACCATAGTTTTACTGTCCTGACGTTTCAAAAGCATACAAGCTTCCATCCGCCTCACAGTATTTATAGGTGGGTAACAGTCATGTCAAAACGGTTTTTCTTACATATGAAGTCAGGGCGGGAGGGGGGATGGGGCGGGGGGGAGGAAGTCCTGGAGCGTCTTTTCGCCGGATGAAGGAGTGGTGGGTCATATGTAAGAAAACCCGTTTTGACATGACTGATACCCACCTATAAATACTGTGAGGCGCGATACCACACTCACCTCCGACGATGGAAGCTTGCATGCTTTTGAAACGTCAGGACAGTAAAACTATGGTTCCCGAGATCGCCTTTTCTTCTCATATATATATATATATATATATATATATTCGATCTGACGTTTCGGAAACGTCCTCGTTTTCATCATCGGATTAGCGTAATTTTTGCACTTGCGGGTCTTGAGTTATTCAGTCTTGCCGCTTGCTTCGTATTATAGCCGTGCTGGACGCACGAACTTTGACCTGCCTGTTTGCCTCTGACTGGCTTAGACCTCCCCGGAGCTGACCGCTGTTAGGCCTGCGTGACCTTTGTTCCCCTTGGGGTCGGCTTAGTTGTGGTCAAATCAACGTGCAGCTTGGCCCCTCCCACGTTAGCCAGTGGACTAATCGGTCATTTCTGTTCAGGTGAGCAGCATTCAGCTTCGCGGGCGCATCGGGGAGACAGTGTTCGGCTTTGGTCACATGACCTCTGGCCCCCAACCAGATAAAGTCTTCCAGCAACCAGCAATAAATTCTTCTGGCTCAACCGAGCCCGGTATGTGGATGACACCATCGTCGTCATCGAAGGGGATCAGGTGCTGACTTTCAAATAACAACTCAGCGCCGTCATCCCGGACATTCAATTAACGATGGAGTGTAGCAGTTCGCGTCTCCTCACCCTTCGCCTTTGTCATGCTGCCGTCCTGTCCGCCTCACACTCCATGTCGATACGCTGATGGGCCGCGCGAGTGCTCGAAGCCAAACAACGCTGTCCCCACTCTGATTGGCTGGCGAGGTTGAGACAACGAAGGGCGAACACACGCGGGGACACAAAACCTCGAAGGCGGACACAGACAACAGCTTGCTTGGAGCGCGCTTGCGGCAACTGCCTACAGAGCCCTTGTGTACGCACTTCCTCAGGCAGTAAAGGTTGTCCAACTCAAACCGTCTACCCTGACTTTTGATTCGAATCTTTATCTTGTCGACCGCACGACTTTGACAGGAGGAGGAGGAGGAAAACAATCAGCTGGCCTTCCTGGATGTCCCCGTCTGCCGCAAAGATTGTGGCAGCCTATAAACCAAAGTGTTCAGGAAAGCGACAAATATAACGCAAATACTGAACTTTAATAGCAACTACCCGATCAGTCACAAACGCAATTGCGTAAGAGCGCTATATCGGCGCGTTGAGACGCACTGCAGTGAAATGGATGACAAGGTTGCTGAATTACAATATCCTCGAAAGGTAATGAGAGCCAATGGCTACCCGCGCAACTTTGTCAACCAGTGTATACGAAAAGGACACCAGTGACCAAATCCAACTAGCTCCAAATTTTGGCGAGCTCTTCCGTACGTGAAGAACATCTCGGAAGCCGTCAGTCGTCTTCTCACTCCACTTGGAGTTCGGGTTGCACACAGGCCGGAAGCAACCGTTAGGCGCCAAGTAATGAAGCCCAAAGACCCGCTGCCACGGCAGAAAACGTCTGGAGTCAGAATGATATTACCGACAAAGACAAGGGAGACTGGAATGGCCATTTCTGGCTTATTAGCCGTCGTCAGCCAGCCATACCCAAGCCCGAAGTGTGGAACACCTGAGCCTTGAACTCGCGACCTGTCGGTTTAGAAGTCGACGCCTCTACTCACCGGGCCACGTCTGGAGTCGTTTATCGGATCTGGTGTATTTGCGTACAAAGCAATTATGTCGGAGAAACTGGGAGATTACTCCGTACGCGACTTGCCGAGCACGCAGCCGCATTGGGGCGGGGAGACGCTAACCTTCAGGTGGCGGCACACTCGACGGGACCCAGCCACATTTTCAAATTTCTAGAGGTCGAAATCCTCGCAAGAGGTGACAACCGCGTGAGCCGCGAGCTGCTCGAGTCATGGTTCTCAGGCCCGCAATCCATCAACAAACACAATGACCTCCCGGTGGCCTATTCCGTATTGCGATTTTCCCTGGGCAGGAGAATCAGTCACATGGGGAGGGCGCGGGTGAGCAATTATCACGGTGACAGTGAGCCAGTTTGCCGAGCAATCGTCACACCAGCATCGAGCACGGATGACGAAATCGCGGCAATTAACAACTCGGACTCGGTCCGCCAAGCCACCGCCGCATCAATTATGACCCCAGCGGCGATTGTGAGAACTGTTAATTGCAGTGCGCATACGGTCCCACGGCAGCCGCGTGCTATAAATACTGCACTCCTGGCGCCACCTTCACCTCTGTCTGCGAATGTCTCTGATGATGGATTCGAGTGAGAATCCGAAACGTCAGGCAAATAAACTTCTTGTTCCAGTGATCGCATCTTCATCCTCTGAGGCAACCAATTACCAGACGAGTGGGGCAGGTGATCACCATTTTGGGTCGGCGTTGTTTCCGGAAGATCAGGTGCTTGCACCAACGTCTTCTGACAACGAAGCAGTGATTCATCATCCAAATGGTCATTGTGTCGGCTTTTTCTAACACCCATTGGCATACACAGTTACACTACTTTGCTTTGTTTGGCGTCAAGGTTGGTGATTCTCATCGACTAGGTTTGTGATAAAATCGATATATTTTTACCTTAAGCTGACAAGGCGGTTATGTGCCCGCGTACTGCGGATATCCAGGTCTTTGATCATCCGGTTTCCTAAACACATGAGCTCTATTGAAACAAATCCAGATGCGATGGAGCGGCCACATTCTAAGGACGACTGACGCGCCTTACGATTTCACTCATTTCTGAACGTCCCTCGGTCGCACATAAACAGGCTGCAGAAAGTTACACCCTAAACCCCCAGCTCAGTCAAGAGACCTAAGGCACAATTGCACAGGATCGGTATGCATGAAAATCTGAGGCATCAGTCCTCAAAGTCGGTCGAATTCAAAAGCTTCTGGCAAAACGGAAAGCACGCTAGGCTAAAAGGCATTAAACGAATGTCATCAGCAGACAAGCCACTCAAACTGTCTTCTTTGCTAGTCCTTTCATCTTCTGACTTGACTTGTATCACACACTTGTATTAACCGCAGTGGAAAACGACGCATTCGAATCAAATTACATGTACGAGTGTGACAAGCGCAGACAAACCTCAGCGATTGCATTCCTGCTTGGCGCCAAACTCCTTTCTACAAGCCCATCCCAAATGTGTTTTCGTCAAAATGCGCTGGCGTATGCCACTGAATATGGTGGATAGCAGTTTTCCCAATGCTCTGTCAGACAGCAAACCGACCTTCATTCTCATCATTCCCATCCTTACCGATCCGTCTTGGCTCTGGCCACTTTTAATCTTCGAATCTTCACTCATGATGATATATGTATATATAGCGGGACACCAGCACGTTTCTCGTAAGGAGTGAATCCCGCATAATTGCATTCGTGCAAGTAAGTAAATTGGGCTTTTTAGGAAACCACTGGTTAAGAAAACGAATCTCAGCAATCAACGGAAGGTGACCAGTAAAATGCTGCACTTCGTTGCCACCTTTTGAAATTTCATAAAATATTAGGGACGCCGAGGTTTACCTTTTGTTAGTCGCCGATGTACTTAGAATGTAGCTCCATTGTTTAGATCCGTCCCACTTTCGATCTTCGTTTGCCAACTATAGATGACTGACTTCCAGACAACTTTTTAGGTCTTCTGCAATTCTAGTCCTTGCTAGCAGTATCGCTTTGTTAGAGTGGCTTATTTAAGTGTATTAAATCCATTTTCGGCGACTGTTATAAAACTGACACCCTGTCTGTCAAATACTTCAGCATGGGGTGGTGTTAAACGAATTGCTGCTTTGTAAATTTACGGCTCATATTCAAGGCCGACGCAGGTATTCCCTTACTCAGAACAGCCGAGCGCATACCACCCTGCCTTCTTTATGTGAAATCATGGCCCTTTACGCGTTGGCCAGGTGATCACCACTTTGGATCGGCGTTGGCTTCGGAAGATTAGGCATTTGCACCAACGTCTCTGCCTTCTTTATGTGAAATCATGGCCCTTTACGCGTTGGCCAGGTGATCACCACTTTGGATCGGCGTTGGCTTCGGAAGATTAGGCATTTGCACCAACGTCTTCTGACGACGAAGCAGTGATTCATCATCCAAATGGTCAATGTGCCGGCTTTTTCTAACACCCATTGACAGAAACAGCTGCACTACTTTGCTGGTGTCCGATTAGTAACCCGAAAAAGCTTGTTTGGCGTCAAGGTTGGTGATTCTCATCGAGTAGGTGTGCGACAAAATCGATATATTTTCCCCTTAATCTGACAAGGCGCGTATGTCCCCTCGTATTGCGGATGCCCAAGTCCTTTGTCAACCGGTTTCCTAAATTCATGAGCCCTATTGAAACAGATCCAGATGCGATCGATCGGCCACATTCTAAAGATGACTGAGGTACCTACAGAACTGACTCATTTTGCAACGCCCCTCTGCCGCATATAAACAGGGTAGACGAATAACCCCCCCCCCCTAAACCCTCAACTTACTTAAGAGATCTAAGAGGCATTTGCATAGAATCGGCATACCGGAAAATCTGAGGAAAAATTCTTTGAATTCGGACGAATTCAGGAGCTTCTGGCAAAGCGAAAAGCACGTTAGACTAAAAGGCATTAAACTAATGTCCCCAACAGCCAAGCGAGTGAAACTACATTCGATGCTGGTCTTTTCATCTTCTGACTTGACTTGTATCACACCCTTGTATTAACCGCAGTGGGAAACGAAGCATTCGAATCAAATTACATGTACGAGTGTGACATGCGCAGACAAATGACTTGCATCAGATCAGCGAATGCATTCATGCTTGGCGCCAAACTCCTTTCTACAAGCCCATCCCAAATGTGTTTTCGTCAAAAGGCACTGGCGTATGCCACTGAATATGGTGGATAGCAGTTTTCCCAATGCTCTGTCAGACAGCAAACCGACCTTCATTCGCATCATGCCCATCCTTAACGACAGCTCTTATCTCTGGCCACTTTTAATCCACGATAGGAAATAGAACACCACCACTGATGAATGAAATTATGTAATATTTTCCTAGATGTGGGCTGTTAATTGCTCTTTCGCCAGAGTAAATACATATCGAGATATTAGTGGATGCTTAGTGTCATCATTTGTTAAATTTGGCTGATACAAAATACTGCCGTACGGCAGACAAGAATGCAAAGTCTGTAGGCTAGACTCTGATTAATTTATGTTCTGCTGTCTACTGGCGGTTACGCTAATTCCCTCGAATATTCCACGGTTGGATACAAAATATCAACCTTGATGTAACAGTAAAGGCCATCGTATTTCACTGTTCGCTGCCGAATTGCATACTGGACATGTAAGTAGGTATCACTGCGCCACATTTCTCGAGCTTTGTTGAGTCGCTGCCTCCTAGTAAAAAAACAGAGATTTGCTGTGTTAAGCTTAAACATGTCGTCGGAGAAAACATGTATAAAGCGTCTTAAATATCGTTTTTAATACCTGTTAGGATTTTCTGCGTTTCCAGCATCTCTGACATGCTTCATCATCTTGTAACGAGCAATTGTGCAGTTGCGTCGCGTCAAAGTTAGTTTGGAGAATGTGAGACGCCTGTACATATCGTCATCTTCGCCGCCCCATCCAAAGTAAGTGTTTGCATATCCAAGCGCACTTTCAAAATGCCTTCTTGCCATCGCCACTGCCCCACCAAAGATGGTTTCGTAGGGCAGACTGGGTTAAGGAAATCAAAATTCTCAATTTTACAATAAAATAATGAGCGCAAAATAAACTACTGTTATAAGGGTTGTAATTTCGGAATTTTATATGAAATAATACAGGAACTCCAGAAATACGGGAAGGATATTACGAGCAGACGGACACCGAAATAAATGGAATTTGCGGATACCGTCGAGAAAACTCCCGTTCCTGCCGCCTTTGTTTTATTACTCCAGCAGAGTGCCAGAACAGACCGCGCAATTTAAAAGATACTAGTGCCACGAACCTACCCGCTCAATGGTACTTTTTGTCACTCAATACTTTTATTTCCCTTTTCAGGGCCACCTTCAAAGCCTACAAACAACCCGGAAAATCAACAGGGTTCTAATATTGATTAATGTGTCTGATGTTTCCTCTCGTTTATGCAGTCGGCTGCTTTCCTCCCTTTCGTAATCTTATTGTTAGGACTTAGACTACTCCTATCCGTTTTCTCCCCCGTTTCTGTACCCCTTTATTATCTCACTCGGTATTATAATGGCATCCCATTCGGAATATATTCTTCTAATGTTTGATGTGTGGCGTCTGCATGCCGATCACTGACGCACCTATTACTCAGTTTCCGTAGGTCGACACGCAAGTTAGATGCATGTAAACGAATGAAGAAACAAGAAACTCAAGGTTACTGGTTAATACCTGAATGGGAAGGGCGGTACGCAGCAGACAAATTCAACGCTAGTGACGATCTTTACCGCAACCACAAATATTCCCCTAATAATAAAAATTAATGAGAACCTAAATTTAGGTTTAAGCTAAACGCATACCCTCAATCTATTGTTTTCATTAGCTAAGCCGGAAACATTCCCACGGTATAACATGCCTTCCAAAACCAAATAAGCAGACCCGTCATAGTACTTTAAGCATAACTTCCATATGCAATCTTTGTCCAAAATACTAAAGCAATCGTTTTCTTTAGTCTAACGCAGATGCATAGTGGTTACTGTAAACGTCTGATACCATTCCGCAAAAAACTACAGGAGAGCTAAATAGCATAGATTGTGAATCTGTTGCATCTAAAACTTAGTAGGAAACCTTTTGTTTAAAACAAAAGAGTTTAAAGCAATTCAACTCGTCTTGAAGATATTCAAACTGGACTGAAACACATCCCTTGACTTCTTAGCTAGGCATTATTTCCTGATGTAAAATATCAGGCACACGTTGGGGTAGTTTTTAGCAGAATGACAACCGCATTTCAGTTGTGTATGTAGTAGGTCCAAGATAAAAGGAGTAGAGTACAGAACTACTGACATTTGATGGGAATTATTGACTGGTACTCGGAATAAATACTCTGCCAAAGCAAAGTTCTATCATATTTCGTCGTATAATCGTGCGATTGCGTATCTAATGGGTGCAAAAGCATGATTTCTTAAATTTACCGTAGCCAAATAAATTCGAAATAGCGTAGGTCTCTAATGGACGTTTAGTTAATGAAATTGGACTGGACGATACATCGCCACAAACTGCCAGATGTAATCCTATGTAAAAAATATGTTCATTTAAAGGTGCTTTCATAACTTTAGACAGAAATATTACTGAGATATGAAAACTAGAAAATACAACAATAAGACGCAGCGTCTGCGGAATTTTAAGGCATTTTAATGTATACTACAGCGGTACTGAACAATAAACGCTTCTTTTTCTTCTTCTTCTTCTTCTTCTTCTTCTTTTTCTACTACTACTACTTCTTCTTCTGAACTACTTCTTGGAAATCGCCTGTTTGCATCAATCGACAATTCCTTGAGAACGATGTACTCAGATGGGCCCGACGGTGGAAAATATTTGTCCTGTTAGAGTTGTCTACATACACGCAGATTCTGTCTCTGCACAGGTGTCTCAATAAGAATGCGTTGCCGAAGGTTGAGGAAGAGCTGACGATACGCGCAACACTTAATCAAGACAGACGAATGAGCCAAGTGCTCCTCCAAGACTGTCCCTCAAGCCTTCCCAAATACCGTCAGAGTATTGACCAAGGGAAGGCAAGGTGCTGCGACTTCATGGGAGAGAACGGTAAACCACGAACAGAGAACGACACGCAGTAGAGCACCAGAGAACACATTTCGTAAGCTGCCTACCCCAACGTCATCCACGAACGACAAAGGAATGCAAAACCTGTCGTCACAAGTGCTGACTGATGAACAGATGCAGGTGTACGGCATGAGACCTCATTCAACAGAGCCGATGCCAAACCTGCCAGCATGATTACCGCAGTGGAGTTCATTTTCAACCAGACCAAAGCGACAGCCGAGACGAAGGACATTTTTGACACCAAGGGTCATTCCTCCTCACAGATCATAGATCGCGCAACGTACTTTCCAAGGTCGAACGTGATGTACTTAAGGAACTCATGGCCGACAATGATCTCGTTGTCGTGCCTGTGGACAAGGGGTTTTCCACGATCAAAATTGGACTGGATAAATTACATTCGGGAAGCCAAAGGCTTGTTAGAGGGTCGTCAGTCCCATGTACCGTTCGAATACAACCCCAAAAAGACGCTCACATTCGAGATCAACGCGACACTGTTGGCAGTGGTGAACTCATATGAAATAGCACCGATCAACCGACGAGTGGCGGGGACGCAAGAAAAGACCCTTACCCGATCCTACGGTCCCCGAACAGTACACAAAGCAGACACTGCTCTCCGGCCAATTGTATCACGAAAAGGCACTCCGGCCTTCATAAGAGCAAAGTGGCTACTTTGACGTGTCAAATTTCTGACCTCAGATTTGAACACCACAGTCAGCTCATCAACACAATACTTGGAGAAGGATAAAAGGCGTCACGGTATTTTTCAATGTCACGTCCCTTTTTACTTCTATCCCGCAGGACATGGCAGTCGAGATCGTCGGGCTACTCTCACGAGACAAGAAAGATGAAACGGAGAATCGCCTAGGACTCGCCCAAATCATCCAAATCCAGCAGTCCTGTCACAAACTGTACCGGACTTTCGATGGAACAATTTACGAACAGGTGTGGGGCACACCAACATGTTCGCCGCTTTCGGGGCGTTTAGCCGAGGCTATTCTACAGCGATTAGATTGCTAGCTTTCTGACAACACAGACTGGAATTTCGGGCTCGGTGTGTGGATGATAGATTTGATGTCCTCGAACGAGATCAGGTGCTGACATTCAAAGAATGCTTTAACGCCGTCTTTTAGGACATTCAATTAACGATGGAGTACGAAGAAAACAACCTGCTAACCTTATCGGATGTCCTCGCTTGCCGCAAAGCTTGTCATGGCCAAAAACCCATGTGTTTAGGAAAGAGACAAACACGGTGTCGGTACTGAATTCTAACAGTAACCATCCGATCGGTCACAAACGCAGTTGCGTAAGAGGATAATACTTGAGCGTTCAGATGCATTGTGGTGCAACGGAAGACAAGGTTGCCGAATTACTATATCTTCGACGCGAACAGAGAGACAGTGGCTACCCGCGCACATTTTTCAACCAGTGCATACGGTAGCGAGAATAAAGACCAAATCCGACCGGCGCCAATTTTGACGGGCTATGCCGTAGATGAATAAGGCTTCGGATGCCGTCAGTCGTCTTCCCACTCCATTTGAAGTTGGGGTTCTGCACAGACCGGATGCAAACATCAGGCGTCAAGTCTTGAGGTCGAAAGCGGATCTGGTGCAATTGCGAACAGAGCAAGTACGTCGGAAACATTGGGAGATTAGCCCGTACGTGGATGGCTGAACACGTAGCAGCGGTGAAGAGGAAAGATGCCAGTTGTCACGTAGCGGATAATTCGTGAGCCGCGAGCTGCTCAAGTCATGGATCTCTGGCCCGCAATCAATCAACAAGCTCAAAGACATCCCGGTACCATGTTTCGTGTTGAAACATTCTCTGAGCAACGAAATCAGTCACGTGGGGAGGACGTGGGTAACCAACAATCCCAATGGCAGAGAAATCGTCACGCACACATCTACCGCGGATGATGCAATTGCAGAAAGTAACGACTCTGACGCGGACTGACGGTACATCAACTCCTCTATTGCGAACCTCCTCCCGCTGTGGTGATCCTGATAACTGTTACTTGTAATACGCATGTGGCGCCGTGGCAGCGACGTTCTATAAATACTGCAGTATTTGTGCCTCCACTACCGGTATGTGGTACTGTCTCTGGTGATGGGTTCGAATGAGTACACCAAACGTCAGGCCAATAGACATCCTGTTACAGCAGTGGCATCTACACTATCCTAATCATCATGTTCTTCTTCTTCATTATAGTCTTATTTTTTTCCTTGAAAATAACGCATTCTCTTTGACCAAATTGATAGAAACCTAGAGTCGTCAAGACATGAAGCTGAAAGACCCGCTGCTACTGCAGGAAGCATTTCCGTTACCTGAATCGATAGCAAAGCCGCCCCTGGACGACCGTAATATGAACAATAGTGCCTGATATAATGTAAAATTTCCCGCCGTGTACTCGACCCATCGACAGCGACCGAAACACCGCGCACTCCTCTTCTGCGTCCGGCTCGACCACTCGGTTTGGTGTCACTGTGCCGCCGATTGCTACTTTGCTCGTCACTGATTGGTCGCAGTCAGACACCGTTCACGCGCATGCACTCGCTTCCTGCTGCCAGACGAAACAATAACAGCTGGCTGCGGACGTGGTGGAACATTCGATCTCGCCTCTACCTTGGTTGCCTCTGCGCAGTCCAAGCCAGAATTAACGCTGTGCTACCCCCATCTATCCCATTTACTTGTGACTTGGGAAACTTCTCACTGGAAACCTGACTCAGCGACAACCAATATCCAAACAGGCATGACTCGGGAGAACATATGCCGTGTACCACCGTTCAGCAAACTATAAAAATGAGGATGAAGGACTTACGAGTAATTAAATTTGTCGATAGCTGCAGACATGTGGAGGGGCTGATCCTCGCACGCGTATAGCATTCTGTCATCCTCGGGTAGGAGGTCAACATCGTGGAAAACGAAGCAAGAATAATTGGCTGCTTTCACTGCCTCCCTGTACCCGATGTTAAGGAGTGCAGCCCGATTGAATGTCTCGGGTTTATCCTGTAGGGTTAATAGAGGCCAATGAGAACTGTTTCAATGAGGGGAGGGGTGTGCAGGTGTGGCCTTTGCGTATGTACAAACAGTCTGAAATGCGTGTTTGGAAAGGTTTTCTAACTGACGCATTGTACGCACACGTGGACATTCATATAACCCAACCTTCAGTCGACCTTCATCCACTAATATGGACATCCCGGTAAGCATGCCTGCTTTACAGCCTTATCATCGACAACCCCTCTTAAGTAATCCTCCCTCATTAATAAGCATCAGAATTTCGTGAGCATTATGTGGAATAGGTCGCCTATTGCAGCTTCGCATTCTATAAGCTTTAGCCACTTTGCGCATAAAGAGAAACATGCAACTTTTGTAAGTGACTTTAAAATCACAGCGGGTGCCGCAGGCAAAGGTAAAACCGATGTCAACCGACTTGATACTATCTTATGATTGAACCGGTAAATTTCTCAGTCCCAGTGCCGAATGCTGGAATGAACCGTATTTAAATATAAGGTGCTTCCAGCCAGGCAGTTAGGAGATGGCTGGTTGACGATAGCCAGGTTGATTGGAATGGACGCAACATTCTTTCTTTACATTGATATAATCTCCCCTACATATCTGAGCAGATGTTTTAAGACATTTTATGCATTAACAAATGTACTAAAACCGCTTTAGAAGTATGGTGCGTTAAGCGTACCATTGTTGTTTTGTACTGCGAGTGTGATTTGCGCGCATAGTTATGCCGTTGAGGTTTATACACATGAAATTCGAATCCACGGAACGAGTCTATCAGGCTGCGCAGTTTTTTGGCCAATCCAAAACTACTGGGGAATTTGGTCGCAGGCATAGGCATGGGGCTCATGCTGCGCCAAACATGACAGCCGATCTAAGCGTCAGATGACTGGCCGGCCGAAAAGGGGAGAGAAAGTGAGGCTTTGGCCGGCGCTGTAGCTAGGAAATTCAGATAATTTCTACCTACCTGTTCAATCACATAGATTGTGTACCGTCGACGTTGATGCCGCATGAAAGGATGCATGTGGTTGAGAAAGACGGAGAGATTAGCGTATCTGTTTCGGAATGGAATGACGACTGCAACTGTTTCCGACTGACAGGAGCCAACTGGAGTCCAAACGATTGGTGCGGACATGGGATTATCACCTCCGTGACGTTCCAGCTTGTATTCGACGTCCGTGAAGTTGGATTCCCCAGTCCAAGAAATTCCATCTGATGGTATTCCCCATTTTAGCGCCAACTGAGCGAACGGCACAAAGGCCATGCTTACATTGAGCCTACCAACTGTAAATGGCCACATTTACTGTTTTTGCACAATACTTGCCATATTATCATAGAAATTAGTATAGGGTCGACTTCAAGAATGAAAAACTGCATTGTATGTCTGCTAATGCCTACTATTTTGAGTCCTGCAGCCAAAAAATGCCTTAATGCAGGCAGTCTGTGGGATTGTTTTTGCAAGAGCACAGCATTACCACACAGTTGCTGTGCTACGAACATTAATTCGGCTATTTCGATAGATTTACTCTAATGTAATACGCTAATGCGATCGAGGTGGGAGAGAAAGCTCAGGCAATAGAACTTGCGGTCAAGTGGACGGTAGCTCCCGCAGTTCTCCCTATATACACTCTTTACTATGTCGTGATTGGATGTGCGAAAGGAAAGCGATTTCTCTGTCTCATTTTGTGACCTTTCTATGACTGCGAATACCGAAAAAACGATATGTTAATTATTTTGGGATGATTTTTCGGAATGACGTTTCCCTGCAAACTGAGTATTCGTTCGAAGCTTGTTCAAAATTTTACTCACAACTTCCCCTTAATTCAAAAGGGTTTCCTTACTATACTACGCCAGCCTGGTCACTGAATTTGGCAAAAACTTAGTGTATGAGCAGGGCTAGGAAGTGCTAACAGGTGGACAGCGCTGCCGTGAGGGCGGTTAAATTGAAAGTCATAAGCTGTCACGAGGCTTTGTCTGCGGTCCAATAGTAAACAGAACTCAGTTGCGTTAGTCAAAAAATAATAAAAAAATAAAAAAAAATGAGAAGTCAGAATATGCCGCGGCCGACTAGTTAACTTGGGGTCAGAGTCCAAGGTGATTCCTAGCCAACATGGAGAACGGGCTATAAGTGACAGGTGGTACGAATTCCGGCAGGTTGTGGAAAGTAATGACGAGCTCATCAGCCTACGAGGAAATATGTAAGGTGTACAGGAGTGAGGGCGGCTCCTTGTCGGTCGGAGCGATGTGGGCGCAAGTGAACGGAGTGCATTACCGTCTGTGGACTGGACTGTACAACACAAACATAAGGAATACATAAAAAAACCTTTCTGTCCGATAGTACGGATGTATATCCTCTGCAGCGACACTACCGCAACCAAATGTATCACTGTGTATGTAATCTTTTATACACAAAGGAAATCTGACTGCTCTGTGTGTGATATGTTGCGTGCAGTGGAACTAGGCTTTAAATCGTAGAGGATACGGACAAAGTCGTGTCACAATGTTTTCCGTTGTGTATCCGGACATGACAGCGATAAGTGTGCTTCTGACAGTCACTCAACAAAAAACAAGGAATAGGTGTGGGAAGGTCATGACAATAAGCCCATTAAAACACTGCAGCAGAACCGTGTCCCCGGGTTGATTTGGTTCAAAGAATGTCCTTCTTCCTCGGTTATATCCGTCAAAGTACCTGTCTGGATTGCGGCTGTAAACGCTTTATTTTGTCTTTAACTAAATAAGTACCTCTTGTTGGGGCAAAATTATGAGTCGAAACGAATAATATGCAGCAATGAGTACTCGGGGAAGCAGGGGTCAGCGAATGTTATGCCGCTATTGTTGGAGCCGACGAAGGGTACGACTGGAATTCAGTAGAAAACAACTTAGTTCTCCTCCTACAAAAGAATTACTTGTGTGGGTTGAAGAAGAATGAACCAATATAGACATTTTAGCAGCACCGGATCCTCGAGGCGGTGCAGGTCAGCGAATGTCATCCGGCCGACGAAGGGCCGACTAAAAATTCCACAGACCAACACCTACGTTGAAAAATACAGTGATAGTAGACTTGCGCAACTTCGACCGCAGTCTCTCCTCTATCCGCAACCAAGGCCCCGGTGTTAAAACGTAGTCAAGAAGACCGGAGGTGAGAGCGGGTGAAGGTGGCTGGCACAAACAAACTCGTGCCACACGCCAAACGCATGCAATCACACCGGTTTGGGTGAAATTGGGCGAGAATGTCATATAGGCCACATTAAGAAGGATCCACTGTAGCATGCTTTGGTGGATTAAAACACGTCAGATTGTGAGGAATGTGCGCATAGAGTCGTCCTCCGACTCTCTGCCCTATTATCTGCACCAGTCCGGGTCAATCAATTAACTGGTGTTGAAATTGGAGGAGGCGACTGACACAGCCAAAAGTGACCCCTCTGTGCGTGCTATACACGACGGAGCAGAAAAATTCATGGACGGATCTCACACGAAGCGAAGTGAGCGTCCGGAGAGGGAGCCGAAGAACAGTCCTCAAACTTACGTGCAAGATGCCTAATGTGTGCCTGGGCTGTGTGGTGTCGGACGTGTTCGTGCGTGGTGCATGTGTTGAAAAGGAAGTGTGTGGTGACGTGGTTAAGGTTGGAGATAATTACTGCAGATTTTTATGGAGGCGCATGTGAACGAGCAGGCCCATGCAGGTGCCCAATGTGCGTGGGCATACCCAAGGCGATGGCGACGAGTGTATGTTGGTGCTCTAGACATTAACGTGCTGGTCTCTCTGCGATGGATTTGCTAATAACCGAACACGCCGAAGTGTTATGTGCATGTGCGGTGGCAGTGGGGGCGGGGATAGGCTAGGAGATATAGAATCAGTTTCAGAGGTGATGCTAATAGTGTTGGCCGCGCTGGCAGATTGGAAGTTGGTGGTGCTGGCGGTGAAGAGGCTGTCGTTGTGCGAGGTGTTCTTGAGTCATCAATACCGTGGTTAGTCACACTGTCATGTATACGCATGCAGTCAACTATAGCATATAATACTGCATATTTAGCATATTTTTCTTCTAAAATTTACCTGTTATATTTCCTTCTCTATGCGCTGCCCTTATTTCTACCTCTTTCTGCCCGATACATCGTCTAGACAGAGTTGAATTTGTATTTACAGACGACTTTTATTTTAACTGATGATATCCTTTTTACGTTTTAAAGAGGGGTTAGAGAGAACTGTTCGATTACCTGATTATTTGTTTCTTTAATGCAATAGGAAGCGTTTTTCGGCTATATTTATTCCTTCTACACAAACCCGTTTACCAACAACAGTCTTAGTGTTCAAAATGTCTTATATTAGCGTAGCTTACCATAATTAACGGAGATGCAGAGGGGCTAAAAGGAATTGAACGAAAAGGGTTAAACCACATTGCTTATCAACTTTTCATATTTTGCCTGGCATTTACTTATGCGACTTTTTCATACCGAGGAATACCATCAAGTCAAGTGCTCAAACTGACGTACTGACACATCACTCTGTCCAAAAGAGGAGATTTGCACTTTCATAATAAAATAGTGAAACGTTACACAACTTCTGAACGGCTAACCAAACTGACGGCATGGGTACCAGGAAAAAGCCGATTAGAATGGTAAACGTTTTAGTATTGACGTACGAGTGACTATCTGAAGCCAGCTGGTGAATATTACGCAGATAAACCACAGTAGCTGATGGGTTGCAGGTCAATTATTTATTTGTACACCGTAGGATTAAGACAACAGCGGTATGCTTAGAAAAATTTACTTCGGATTTACGAATTAATTTCTTCTAAAATTGAACGAGACAGTTCCACATTAGTAAAAAATTCCAAAGATGTGTTATTAAACGTAATGACGTCTGTGTGTGACAACTTTATGCCCGCCGCCGGTCGAACAGACCTTGGTTTGGAGGCGGAAGTTTAGAAGAGCAAATCATGCAGCTCCGTCATTTAAAATGACAAGACACCACCGAGTTTGCTGGGCGCTGCTATATTTGCCATAAAATGGCCCACTAACTGCAATGAACCTTGCACGCAGACAGCAGCAATACTGATTTTGGGCTTGATTTTCCATTCACATAACGGAATCTGCGTCAGCCGCTCCCTCGCGAACCGGTCATGACTGACTTCGACATGATAAAAAGTTCGAAATGTATCCCAACTAGACGTAATTCGCTGGCGATGCAATTGCACTCTTATCATGCAAGAGCACCCGTTCGCACAAGCGCTTTCGATCATTTGAGTGGTTGATTTTTGGGACCTGACTTATTACCATCTCAAGTCTTTAGTTTACAAGTCCTGGTGCCAGGTGCTTACTTAAATGGTTAGCGTACATCTCAGGAAAAACAGAACAGGTGTTAGTTGTAATTCAAACTAGACTGTATGAAGGTTCAAATAGTGGTTTTGGCAACTATTCAACCCAATGCAAATAAAAACGGGATTACCTTAACTAGGGAACCAAAGATGGACCAAGAGCGAGAAGTTAGTGGCAGGTCTACTTGAAGTAATCTACGAAGAATTAAAAGATATAGTTAGAAATTCTGAAAAATGTCCGGACAGGCGTGTTTCTCTGGACACTCGATAAAGCCAACAAATGTGTGGAATGAAGGCAGCTAGGTTATTTTCAAACAGGGGCAAAGCATTTGAATGCAGTTGACCTACGCGTTTATAAATATAAGCAATTGTTTATGATGGGGTTTAGGACTTAAAGTAGACACGCCCGCATGAGCTCGTAGAAACACTGTAAATACAATTTTCACTCAAATAAACTATCAAAACACACTTTCTTAAATGAAAACTTCTTCATTAAGAACTACCCTTTAGTCAATTTCTACAATTCAGTACTCGCTCCATCACATAGTCTGTAAATATACGCAGCTAATTTCTGAGCAAATTAAAAATCACTAACTGAACCACTCCTTACAGATCCACAATAGTCACCGACACGTCTTATTTGTAAAGGGGACTTTAGAACCATGAGATGCATTTGAAGGATTGCAGTGTTATCGCTAGGCTGCTAATTATAATTGCTCACCTGGGTTATTTTGACACGTACTTACTTGTGGCTTCATTCTCATCAGTCATTAAACAGGTTTTACCATTTGATTGTAAACCGCGTATAATTGCAAAGCATGACATCTTAGCCGCTCATAGCATTTATGAGTAGAACAGACAATACCGATTTTCGCCCGTTGTGTAAGTTGTCAACGTAGAAGAATATTTCATTGAGAATTTCACGAGTTGAACACGAGCACATATTTTG